TCCTCCATCACCTTCCCAGAGACAGAGGTGAGGATGACTAGCCTGCAGTTCCCCAGATGCTCCTTGATCTTCTTGATGAGAGGACTGACATTTGCTTCCTTCCAGCCATCTAGAACCTCTCCCATTTGTCATGATTTTTTAAAAGATAATCACGAGTGGCCTTGCAATGTCACCAGCTCATTGTCACTGCCTCCAGTCCTTACATCTCCACGTTGTTTTTTTACCCAGAGAGGTTGTGGAATCTCCTCCTTGGAGATCTTCAAAACCCACCTGGACATGGGCCTGGGCACCCAGGTGTAGGTACCCCTGCTTGAGTGTGGGTTGGACCAGATGGCCCCAGAGGTGCCTTCCAACCTCAACCATTCTGTGAGTCTGTAATTCTTCAATTCCTTGTTTTCAAGTATGATGTCCACTAGAGTACCTCTACTTGTTGGTTCCTCTGTCACCCCCAACCATTGTCGTGTTGTAAAGACCCCAAATGAGGACAAGGACTTGCAAAATTGGGCCTTTTTCGTCTTGTCTGAAGAAGGACAAATCTATTTCTTCTTCCTTTTCTGTATCAGACATCCACTACAATATCACTGCTGTTGATCTACCTGCTAATCCTATAAGTTCCCAGTTGACTCATCACCCATCCCTAGGCAGAGCTCCACGCACTTCAGCTTTTCTCACATGCAGGGCTATTCCTCTTCCTCTTTCTCACCTTCTCAGTCTGTCCTTCCTAAACAGCCCGTGTCCATCCTTGGTAGCACTCCATTATGTGAGCTGTCCTGCCACGTTGCTGTGATCCCATGTTTTCATGTGTTTTGGGCAGGGGTTTGACCACAGGAGATGTAAGAATTTATGAGAACTGGAATTGTTCAGCCTGGAGAAGAGAGGACTCAGGGAGTCTAACAACACCCCAAAAGAGAGGGTCAAAGAGAAGGCTGTGCTGAGCTGTCCTTGAGGATCCTCAGGGACAAGACAAGCAGCACGAGCCTCAAATTGCAGGAAGGGAAATATTTCTCTATGTTGAGTGTTCAAAACTTGGAACTAGTGCCCAGAAAAAGCCTGCGGTGTCTCCATACTTGAGATGCAGCCAAGAGTATGATGAGCTAAGTCACTTCTTCCTCCTCTCCAGGCTCCAGATAAGCTTCTTGCTGCATGATGTCCCTTAGCAGAAGGGGTTTGTGGTCCTGATGCATCAACAGACCCACCCCAGGACAACCTACCAAGTTCTTAAGGACAGATCTAGGGCCTGCTACTGCCACCTTCTGACAAGAGAATGAAATACCAATGCATGATTCTAGCTCATTTTCCCCTCACTACGAAGGTATTATTAGGATAATTTTTGTAGTTTTTTTTATTTTCACAGTTTTCAAAACAGTGTTTCATATTCCATTGGCTCCAACCAGCTTTAGGATGAGTTACATATACATGAAAATTAAAAAAGAAGAAAAAAATCAGTCTACCTAAGCTGCCTTGAACAAACCTTGAGTTGAACTCCAATCTGCAATTGATGAGCAGCAATGCCTTGCCCTCATAAATGTCCTGAGCATTGCAAAGGGGTCACTTACAAAGTACCACTGCCCCACACTTATTGACTGCTTATACTTGGTATTTGTGATCTTTCTTTTAACAGTTTTATCCGTGATACTACATGGGTGCCTCTCCTAGAAGCAGGAGGTTTGCATGGTCTGTGTTCAGCAAGCGGCCCTCGTGTAAAACTCACACTTTCCTGCAGGAATGGGTGACTGCATCCCCACAGTTTTGGCAATGAGAAGACAACCAAGGAGCCAGAAGCACCTGGTGCTCAGGGACAACAATGTGACATTGCTCTTAGTGATGTGGGCACGACAAGGACCTGTGTGAATCACTCACAGCTCACACAGTTGTTATTTGTGTTAATTGGCATGGAGAAGGAGAGCAAGGCACGCTACTCACACCTCTCCCCCCTTGGGTTTGATGATGTATGTGTTATATTTGAGACGTGCTAGATTGATTCTTGCTATATAAAGGACAAGTGTTATTAAGTTAATGGCAGCTCGGGTGGCCACGTGTCCCTGTGTCACAGGAGGGGCCAGGCCACCAAGCCCTATGGCCATTGTACTTTGCTTTAAATATCTTTTTTTTTTTTTTTTTCCTTGGGATATGATAAACAGAAAGATCAGAGCATGTTTCCACAGCGATGTACCTCCTATCTTTCCAGCTTCTTTCCATCACAGCTGCTCTTCAAACTGTGGGCTCAGCATTGCTTCCTTGGGATGCTGGCTTCCCATTGTTCCCCATAGCCTCGCATGCAGACCTCAATGCCCACAAACTGGGGAAAAAAAAGAAACAAAGGAAAGAAAATGGAGACACTCAGCACTGGCAGGGAGGTAGGGCTCTTGATTCTTTTGGGTTCTTTCTTCCTTTAGCATTCAAACCTCAAATTTTGGCTTGCAAGCTATCTACCCATATGTTTATCTCAACTTCTTTACATTAAACTAGCAAAAGAACCTGATTTCTGGAGACTCCTCTCCAGCTCCAGAACTCTTCCTTCCTCCAAAACCTGCATGTACCATGGCTATAGCAGAGGCATGAGTTTCTGATCCAGAGGGACAGAAAAGGGCAGGGATGGGAGGGCAGGAATGCTGCTGCTGCAAGCCCGTCCTCTAGCGCAGGGTGTCTCATACCCTGAGATGATCAACACGTCCTTGGAATGCCAGTGAGAAAGGTCTGCAGAGCCAACTGAAACTGAAACAGCAATCCGTGTTGTTTTGTTTCCAGGGATACTTTCGGGCACTGGTATCACTACATCTCTTAATGAGGCTCACTGGGAAATACGGGCCTTAATGAAGGAGACACCTCTGGTACCTCTGTGTCAAAACACTGATGGTGTCCCCTCTCAGATCTGGTGAAACGGCACCATTTTACGTGAATTTTCTGAACAAGAAACATGGGACAGCACATCCTGGGCCTGCCTGGAGACAGGCGGGTCTACATGTGGAAGAGCAGGAGCAGGGACATGGGAGGCAATGTGAGTAGAAAGGACAGGAATGCCTGGCACAAGGCAGGTATAACCTCCTCTTAGGTTACAAAATATGGATTGAAAAGAGAGGGAGCAGTGGAGAAGGCCCTTTCCCAGGAAGGACAAAGTCCAGGTTAGGGTTATCCAGAGAAAAGGAAAGATATTTTTATTTGTTTCAATCAGATTACGGCTGTTCCTAAGAAACTCCTGAGAGCCCATTGTTGTTATTCTGCATTTACCATACATTCCCCAGGGAACATAATCTCCTTCTCCCATGAGACTGAGCTATTTGGGGTCCCCAAAATAACAAAGCTTTAAACAAAAATTGCAACTACATATCTTGGCAAAGAAGCAGGAATTCTCTCCAATTCAGGAGAGTGGGGGGAGGCTCCAGAGCAGTTTCCACAGCACTGTAGCCCCGAGGAGCTCAGGAAGAGGAGCAGCTGCCCACAGACACCCACACAGGGGCCATTATGTGCCTAAAATAGCCATCCTCTCCAACAAGAGTGCAGGCTCAAAGGACAAATCCTATCTCCATTCCTATGAGGGTCATGGCCATTCCGTGATATTTATGAGCACAACTATTGAAGGCAAAGACAATCTCTGTTCTTTATCCATCAACAGGAAAAGACTCCAATGGCCTTGAGATGACAAGTACAGATTTATCCCTCCCTATAGTCTATAGGCTCAGCTTCATGTCTGTGCTCTTTTTGACCAGCTTGTAATGCCCAACACTGGGCTTTGAACCCAACCCGAGCTGTTTCTTTCAAGAAAGCAAAAGAAAAAGCAAAGCAAGAGGTAATATCTGTAATAAATATCTGTAACACAGAACCATCCAGAAAAAAATATATATATATATTGTTCCAAGTGTACCTTTTTTATTAATTCCATATAGTTTTAGTAGAGTATAACAAACATTAAGTAACATACACTACACATATACTTATGTTAATATATTGAAAGAAATCAATATTTCTTTATTCTGCTTATTCTGTTGCAATAAAGGCAATACACAATTACAAAGCTCACACATATGTATTAGTAAAATCAACATTTCAATGTAACCATCCCAGTGAAATGAGATCATTCAACAAAGCTGAAATAAAATGTGTCAATATTTTTTTTTTTTCTGTAACACTTTATTGGCCTTATTATAATTTCATGAAGTGTTTCGGTTTTGATGAAGTGGTAGGTTTGGGGCTGGAAAAGTGTTCCCTTGGAAAATGTTGGACCTGGGAAGCCTTTTATGCCTTTCATTTCTCAATTTACACTAAGAGCACAGAGCTGGACAAATTAATACATTCAATCAACTTCTGATGCCTCCGATTCTCTGCTTTGCATGCAATTATCTGGTTAAAGGTAGCTCACCCTTGGGTCCTGACTCTCAGTTTTGTGTTAATGGTTTCTCCTTGACCTGTGAGATCTTGGCTTCAAAAGCACCTCTCCCAGGTCTACCACAAGCCAGTAGATGGCAGGATTGACCCAGGGCTTCGCTTCCCTGTACACCACGAAGACTCCTAGCAAAATGCAGACTTGGGTGTGTCTATCTCCGTTTCAGTTCAATACCCTCAGACAGCAGCTTTCCAGGGGAGAAGTAATTCCTCCAGAAGTTACAAAGGAGGATTCAGAGACATCTCCATCCAAACAGCCAAGACTGACGGCACTTCACTGCTGAGGACGACAGTAAAAGAGCCCAGCTCCAAGGTGCAAATCATTGGGCTCACAGGAACCTTCTGATGGGGCCCTAAAGCTCCAAGCATCCTGATGTGCACCATATCTGCCTTCCCCAGAGAAGGAAGAGCATTGGGCACTTCTATCTCACAGCCTCCATGGACCAGAACTACCAGGTTTCCTTCAGGAGTCATGGACCAACAACCACCTTTATTACAAAGGTCTCCAGGACTACAGTCACTCCTAGTAGCACATAACTTCAGTAAATCAACACCAAGCAAGGACATTCTTTGAGTACCACAGTCAAGTAACTGGCCCTATTTGTTCTGGCTGTTTGTTCAAGGACGTCACCTCAAGTCTGTGTTTTCCAAACAGAGAAGGTCTGCTGTTTAGCTAAAAAGAAATAAATATAAAAATCTCAAAAAACATTGGAAGAACTTTGTTTTGTTTTGTTTTTTGTTTTTTTAAGTCCTTTTGGCAAACAACAAGCCCAGTTGAACCTGAGCAGAGAGGACCGGTGCTGCAGTGAGCTTTGAGCATTTGCAGACAGTACATAAAAAATGGGAGCCCTTGTGACATTAACATAGTGGTAGATGGCAGCAGCTGCCATTGAAATACAGCCATTTCCAGGATGGAAGCACAGAAACCATTTTCTCATTAGCGTGCTCCAAAGTGGGCAGGTTTTGACCTAAGCTGTTCTCATTTTTCAGCAAAAACTGTTCCAGGATATTTTATGCTTGTACAGAGTGAAGCTGCCTCCCCTCAAAGCCTCCCCTCTTGTCAGGAAAAGTGAAGATCTGAGTTCTCTGCTGAGATTTCGATTTCTAATTCCCCAGCCCAAGCAAGCACTTCAGGGCAGTCCCATCATGGCCCTCCAGCTCCAAATCAGGCATTTGGTTTAACAGCCTCCAGTTTTAATGCTCTGTAAATGCTGGGCTCTTACTATTTATTTCATTTGTATTATTAATGTTTTTAATTACTACGGTTGCACATTTTCAGGCCTTTCACTCCTGGGCTTTACAACAGCTGAGGTTCTCACATGATTTCAGGTGCTGGGGATTTGGGGGCAAAAAATATCTACAGTGGGACCAGGAAATGTGAGAACTGTTCATAAAATGCCTGGGATTAAAATATTGAATTACATCTCCTGCATTTGACAGGCTGCCATACCCTCTCCGTCTCTCCAATACACATATATCTTTCAGGGAGATCTTTGCCAGCTGTGTTTGAAAGGAAAAACTGCAAATATATCTTCTTCCATAGATGAAGTGTACAAGAATATACTGCACAAGGAGGGAAAGAGAAAACAAGAGTGAAAAGGCAGGGGGGAAGGGGAAGAAAACAAACTTCTCCATATGCAATATGCTGATCATCTGTAGGGTCAAGAACATGTGTGACCCACTGTGAACCTGGCAATGCCACTAATACAGCTTTGTATAGGGCAAGGAGCCTGCTGACCACACTTTCGCTAGCCCTTGCTCACTTGCATAACCAAGTCCCTGGCACAAGGAAACACTGAAATACCAAGATAGGAAGGAATGGGCCATTGGAAGGAGTAACCAGGTCTCCCAAACTTTTTTGTAGCTTTATCCCATGGGATTGTCCAGTGTGGCATCCTCGGGATAGACTTGTAAAGGCGTGAACATGCACAAGGACACAGCTATGCTGATGGCTTTTGAAACGAGCTCTTTGCTTGCAGTAGAGCTGTTGCAAGGATAATTAAGTCCAGAACCAAGTTTATCAGGTAGCTAGAAAGAAGAGCTAAAACCCTGTTGCTGGAAAGGTAGAACATTGTGGGTGCTGTCTTGGTCTCACCTGATGGCATCCCCATCCCTCTGATCCACAGTAATCCCACAGGAACTACACCACCTACTCACACCATGCAGCAAGGAACAAATTTACCCTGAAAACGAGGTTTCTAACCCTCTCAGGAAAAAGGCTTAGGCACAGAGAAGCTAGGGAATAGTAATTACAAGACTTTTGCTGGCTTCTTCCCTGGCTTGTCCTGTGCTACCTGATGTGCATAGCAGAGGGCCAGACTCTGGGGCACAGTGAACATTGAGCCCTGTGGTCCCAGCAGGATTAAGCCCTGCTGACCCTGGCAGATGACAAAGGATGAGATAACCAGAGGAAGGCACATCTCAAGCCCAATGAGATAATGGAGCACGGTGCATTCTTACCAGACTCATCACCTAATTGCGGGTCATGTCACGATGACCAGTAACTCCCGTTCTAAATGCCGTCATTAGCATCTATGTCACTTTAATTAAAAGATGGGGAGAAGGAAGAGGAAAGAACATGATAATGCATTTGCTGCTAGATGTCTGTACAACTGCGCACATACTTCATTGAAAAGAAGCTGCTCATTAGTGATTTAAGTGGGGACAACGGTATGATTCTCAAGGTCAGGCTGGATGGGGCCTTGGCCAACCTGATCTACTAAGTGGCATCCCTGGCTACAGCAGAGGGTTGGAATTAGGTGATCTTTAAGGTCCCTTCCAACCCAGGCCATTCCATGATCCTGATTCCATAATTGAACAGCACGTGCTGCTTGGGAGCTTGTTTTTTGGACACGAAACGGGAGAAACATACGAAGGAGGGGAGGAGGGCAAGGTTGAAAAGTGGCAATGCTACACCCAACTTTTGCTGCTAGAAAAAAAAAAAAAGCCCAGTGCACCTCTGATCAACCTGTGGAAGTGACAGCAAGTTTTTACCTAAGTTTATGGTCAATTTTGGCTTTTTTGGAGTCTAGCAGGTAGGAAAAGATAATCATAAACCGGCACAATGCAGAGGCAGCAGGAGGACACATCTCCCCCAGGAGAGCTGAGAGCTTCCAGAAGCAACGCTGTTGAGAGACCTGGGAAGATCCTGGGATCTGGAGGACAGCAGGAATGGCAGGTTTGGCAGTGAAGTCACCTTCCGTAGTCCTTACACACACCATCAGCCCGTCCACTGGTTGCAGGTTGAAATTAAATATCTGACCTCTTTGCCTCAGACTTGACCAGATTTTGCAAACAGACCTGTTGCCCTGGATCATTTTAGGTGTTGCAGCTTTCTCCATTATCACCATCCCAAGTCTGTAAGCTGGGAAATCGAGGCACCAAGTCTCTGTAATAGGCAGACTAATTTGTACGGGTCCTGTTCCCAGTGTTAGGAGCAACGGGGTTGACTCAGAACCACGGCTGGCACTTGTCACTAAAATGCACCTGGAAAAGGCGATGCTTGAGAGATGTGAAAGGAACTGCTCATGGAGTGTTTTATCAGGGCCCACAGAAAGGTGAGGGACAGGGAGGAGGTGAGCTTGCTGCTCAGAGATGAACTGCTGAGATGGAGTACTCAGAAACCACTCGATAGGGTAAGAGGCCCTCGTGCTGTGCAAAACATTTGTATTTTCTGTAACAGTGTTCCTAATCTCTCTGGTGGCACCAAGGAAAAACACACAGCACACGTCCCAGCTCAGGTAACAACAGGAGCATGTTTATTCAGGTCTGGCACTTACAGAGCTCAGAGGGACAAGGTACACGTCATTTGTTTTCCAGAAAAAGGCAGCCCAGGGTTGGAAGAAATTTATAAAAAGAGACTCCAGCTGCAGGGGCCAGGAATGTGTCTCCCTTGGGGTCATGCATTCCCCGTGCCTGGGCCACCCTCGTGTTGGGGCACGCTGGTGCCAGGCATCTCCATGGAGGCAGGACCATCTGAACGCTTGACAGAACGGTGTCTGGGGGCAATCGTTTCGTGGTGAGTCCCAACCTTGATTTAAGCAACCTTAGAAACTGGGGGAAACAGGTAAAAAAGCAGAAACCCTTCCGAAACAATCCACCGGGAGGTGCAAGAGTGCAGCGGGGTAGGTCCGAAGGAGGAGGAGGAGAACGGTTGGGCCCAACCGCCCAGGTCTCTGATGCTGGAAGAGCATAAAGTCTGGGAAACGACCACCGCGGAGGCCTGCTGAGAAGTAGAGGATCTCCTTGTGGGCAGCGATAGAGAAAATATTGGCTAATGAGACCCGCGGCAGCCCGTGGAAGACGGGGCACCACGTTGCAGAGGTGGGCTCGCCGGGGGTGCCCCCACCGTCCCCAGGGCACCGGCTCTTCCTCGGCCAGCCCCATCACTCACGAGCCCTGAGGATGTAGAAGAAGCTGACCAGGATGCCCAAGGCCAGGACGGTGTAGCTGGCTTTCACGTTGCTGGAGCCGCTGATGTTGCAGAGGAAGGAGTCGCAGCAGTAAACGGAGGCAGCCGCTATGCCAACGTTAATTCCGGCACTGGGGCAAATGGGAGAGCATCCTTTGGAGATGGACTGGCCGGACTTGCCACCTGAATTTCAGTGGGGAAGGGGAGAGGAAGAAAAAACAGAAAGCAGACGGGTTTAAAACCTTTCAGCCTTTTGATATATTCTGCAGAGGAAACAACAGCACCGAAAAAGCTAGAGTGTCATGTGCAGTTCAGAGAGGATGTAGCACTTCTCGTCAACCTCAACCAGCCCACACACTTCGAGAAACACCCCCACCTACTTTCCACACTGCCCCTAGAGACCGTACAACCCAGGGACAGCCCTCCCAGGCTGCTGGCCAAAATTTGTCTGCCACAGCTCTGGTGGAGAATGTCAACAATCCCACTTCAAGCTTGACCCTGGGGCTCCTCAAGCTGGAGAGGGACTCGTGAGCGAACGCCGCGTTACGAGCTCAGCTGCGAGCGAGGCGCAGCTCGCATTTAGCAGCGAGCTCAAGAAATAGGAAGCCATTAGCACCGTGTGCTAAGATGACAGGTTTATAAAAACTCCTGGCCTCCATTTGTGCATGCACAAGCCGCCCACATTATGGGCTCTGCAACTCGGGCATGCAACACTCTTCTCTCTGGCGTGTTGGAAGGAGAGGCTGAGGGAGAGCAGGGCAAGCCAGGATGGGATGCGAGCTCTGCAATGCCACCAGGGGACCTGCCAGAGCAGGCTGCTTCTCTGGGAGATCCCCCGGAGCTTTCTTGGTGCTTTTTTCCTTCTATGAAAAGCAGGCATTTAGGGAGGGAAGCTGCAAGTTCCTGGCAATCCCACCATGCCTACAGAGGGCAAAAAATCACAGGCAGAGATAAACAACACAAGCTAGCACAGAGCAAAAGCAGGAAGAGTACCCCTGGACCTTTCCTGCATAGGAAGCCTGCAACACCCTCGACCTCGCCCCTTTCACCAGCAACCTCCTCTCTCCACCCCTAAGTTCCCCTCAGACTCCTGGCATCAGTGCAGACACGTGGGCTTTAATGTGACTTGGTTTGGCAGCACATCTCTCGCAAAATGCCTTTAGGGTGGTCCGACACAGCTGCCACACAGAACTTTCTCCTTTCTCCAGCCAGAGGAAGGAAAACCTTCACGCACTTCCCCATGTAATCCCGGAGAGCAGCGAGGAAGACTCACCAAGTCCCACTCCGACGTATGTTGTCACACAGTAGTTTTCATTCTCCCCGCACGTGACAGGCTTCAGGCAGCCCCAGTTGGAGGATGCATCCGAGCAGGAAAAGCAGACGAGTGTGTGGGCTGCAAGAGAAAGGCACAGCTCGGTTAGGGGCTGGTGGGGAAACATCGCTGCTCAGAGGTCCCCACCTCCAGCACGCAGCACTCACGGCATCCAGCCACAGCCCGTGCTTGCTGTTCAGGCTGCGTCGATCTGTGATAGCCTTTTTGCCCCCCAAATTTGTCAGAGGGTTCAAGCACAAGGGATAAATTTTAAGGTTTCGGTTGGGTTAACTGCCAGCTAAAGCCTCGATGCAACTGCGGGTCAGCCTGGTGCTTCATGGCATGCTCTTATTTGCACCAAGAGCTGGTCCAAGCAGCGGCTGCCAACCCGAAGGCAGGTTCAGGCTTGCAGGTTGGATGCTGAGATTTGGGCTTATTCACCTCTGCTACCCTGGACACCAATGGGAACTGCTCCAGGTGTGACTACAGGTTCGAGCTTTTCATGGCCTGCCTTTGGCAGCAGGGCACAAAGCTTAGGCTACACTTGAGCTAACAATACATGGTAGAAACGATTTCCCAGCCAAAGCAAGCCCAGCGCTGCAGCAAGACCTGCAAGGACTTGCAGTGCCCCATTACCCTGAGAGTCACAGCACTATGAAAGCATGCTGCTTTCAACCAACCTTTCTAATGTGGAGCAGAGGAAGAGCAGAGAAGCACGACTTCCTACAGGGCAGGTTCCCCGATGTGGTCAACCCTGCACCAGCAGGATGGATTGCACCGACTAGTTCCCATCCCACATCCAAGGAAGGGGAAAGATTGGGAAATAGCATTCAGCGGAGGGAAACGGTCGCAGAAACTGCCTGGACTAGTGACTCAGCATGGACTTGTGTATTTGGCAGTGGATGGATGATCTTCTCTGTATTTTACATATTAAGAACTTCACATCCACACTGCAATTGTTGACCTACATATGCAGACAGATCGGGGCCATTCCCAACAACTTGACGGGCTCTGATTTTGGAACCCTCTGCAAACCTTTCCGTGAGGCCCTGCCTTTCTCTTCTGTGTTTATAGGATCCAAAATGGAGGGGAAGCAAATTCAGGATGGGAAGCGCAAGGCTGCCTCATTCCTGCTCCTACCCCTTCCAACCCCAGGACAAACAGATTTTCCTAAGGAGGTGATGCTGGAGAAGCCCTGATAGAGCTTGCTAAGGCTTGGCAGTCCCTGCTGTGGTGTATTTTGAAGAGCAAGTTGGATAAATATTAATAACAGCTGTCCTGCTCCGCCACAGGCCTGCCTGACCTCTTGAGGTCCTTCTCAATCCTATTTCTCTCAGAAAAATATAAAAAAGCCCTTTACAGGAAAATTGGAAAAAAATAACAATTGTGCTCAGAAGAATGACTTTTGAGCAGCCACGGCCAAGGCAAGGGATGAAAACAAAAACATAATAGCATATCTCATGAAAACATATTAAAGCTGGTTAGTGGGAGGTCCTGAATGTCACGCCAGAGTAGCCGGATGACTCTGGAGACAAAGCCAACACCACAACCCCCTAGCAAGAATTTCTTGGGCTGTCTCATACAGCCTTCCATGCTCATCAGTCTGCCAACGATCCTTGCAACAAAGCAGAGTTACCTGAGCATGCCAGCACGGCAGCCACAACCTACACAGCGCAGCCAGGATTACAGGGCCACCAGTTGAGTCAAAGGCCTCAGGTGAGATTAGTCAGTGGACGTTGCCCCTAGAGAGGGGAGGAGGAGGGAGCCAACCACTACATCTGCAGGCTGTTGTCAACCCTTGCTGAAACCTCAAAGCATTTCCATGCGTGGTATTTTTTGATCTCGTTGGCCAAAACTCAGCTGCAAACTCAGGCTGAGACCTTGAAGAGAAGCCTGGCTCTCTCCCTTTCCCCTCTTCCCCATGTCTTTGCTCTCAAGTCTCAGGCGACCTGTCCCAAACCCTTCTCCTTGCAACCACCCTGATGGCAAACTGAGGCCCAAGGAGGCAAAGTGACTCATCCCACCTCAGGGGAATCATCTGCAAGCAGGAATGAAGTGGATTATAGGCTTCCCATGGACATTATGGCAGCACATGTGTCCCCGTATGTATTTGCTCACCATGCTGAATGCACAAGTTGAGCGGTGCAGTGCTATACATTAAGCCTCAAAGATTTCAGATGTGAACACATCTGAAATATTTGTATATGCAAACAAAAAAAGGCCTCTAGGCATGACACTTTCTACTGCTAAATCTATATTCTTAACACTCTGTCCTGTCCACACCCTGTCCCTTTTCACACCTATTACCCCTTGCCTTAATGTAGACTAAATATTTCCGGGATGGGTGAGATGGGTGAGCCCTTTGGTATAGTTTAGGAGAGGAAACATTTAGTTTTAACTCCTGCTGCTTTCTGCTTAAGCAAAACAGATAACTAAAGGACCCACTGCAGAGTGGAGAGAGCAAGCAGGCTGCGTGCCTTAGACAGAAGGCACAAGAGGGGAGCAGAATTATTTTACGCGGCTGGAGACAGAGCTAAGAGTTGGAGCTCAAGGCTGAAAAAAAAAAAAAAAAAAAAAAAAAAAAAAGCCTAAGTCTGAACAATGCATAAGAAAAGCCTCGTTTTCACCAACTGGAAAAGGCAGTTTTCTTCAATGTGAAGAATGTATGTGTTTATTTGTTTGCTGTTCAGCTCTTTGGAGGAACAAAGGGCTTCCAACAGAAGATCATTTGGGGTAATTCCTCAGATAAGAGGTTGAATCCATTCTTGCAAAGAGCAATGCAGGAAAAAGGAGAAAAAAAAAAAAAAAAAAAAAAAAGCCTTTAGGAGCTCAGCTCCAAAGCTCAGCGGCCCCACTGAAAAATGCTGTTGCTTCAGCAGCAATTCCGTTCGGTCTCTATGTCAAATGTTCTTTCCTTTACATTGCTCTTAGACAAGATCCATATGCCAGATCTTCGGGGCACTTTGAACAGTGGGCAAAGCTTTTCTTAAAAAAAAAATCCAACAAACTCCCTGCATATGCTGGAAGTGTTCAGGGAAAAGGCAACCTGGTTAAGAAACCCTTTTGCTTGGCTGAGAATTTACTCTTATGCTGAAAGATATTTTTTTGGGGGGAGGGGGAGAGCATTAACCCCATTCCTGCCTGGGCCTGGACTGCCCCGCTGGAACTGAGCACACACCAGCTGGGCTCTGATGGAGACCCAGATCTTGAACTGCCAGTTGCTTCGTGGACCCCATGGAGAGGGAGGCGCAAGAAGGGTAGAAAACAATTAGTTTCTTCTTATTGGTGTCCTCGGGAGGCAGGAAGGGTCGGTGTTTCCTGAGCCAGAGTCTCAGACGACCGAGAACTCTCCTGTTTGCTCTTTGTTTGGCTTCTCCAAGCAGTGACATATGGAAACAATACAGGGTTTTGCATAGCCCCATGGAGTTTGGAAAGGCAGAAATGGAGTCATGGGGATTACGGACCTGTGACTTGGCCAACTTGCAGTTTAACACCCAGCAACAGGAAGCACATTCTCCCCAGCTTCAGTGGCAGCCCCAGGAGTGCTCCACAGGGCCCTTTCCCTTGGGGGTCACCTCCCCACACCCTGTTAACCCCAGGCTGTCCCTGTGGATGCTGGAGAACGGCAGGAGCCAGGGTCACAAGTGGTTCTACCCAGACTTTGCTCCATCTGCCATTGTCGGGGCTGGGCTCCATCTCCCCTCCACCCTCCTTCCCCTCGGCAGCATCTCAGCCCATTTCAGCGCCGTTATCCCGGCTCGCTGCACCGAAAGGGGGAGCGGAGCCATCCCTGGTCTTTGTTCGAGCTGCAACTGGGAAAAGCTCCAAAATATAGCCGTACACAGCTGGAGACACACACCCATATACATACATGCACGGAAGCCCCGAAGTTCCTGCTGCAAGGGGGACACTGCCGAGCGGCAGGTCTCGGGAAGACCCCCACCACCCCAAACCTCCGCCAACCCCCAGCACGGCTCAGTCCTGCCCCCCCAGCCCTTCCGCAACCCTCACCCCACCTCCCGCATTCTTCCAACTTCCAGAGCACCCACTGCAAGACGCAGCATCTCCCCCACAGCATCCCCCCCCTCCCTCAATAATTTCCCCCCGAACCGGGGGCTGGGCAAAAAAAATATATATATAAAAAAAAAAAAAAAAAAGAGGTGGGAGGAGGGAGAAGCAGCCCCCATCTCTTACCTCTCTCCACGCACAGCACCGCAGCCAACGCGGCGAGCAGGAGCGCCTTCATGGTGCGGCGGTGGGGCCGGCGAGCTGCGCAGGGAGATGGGCTGCGCGCAAGGCTGGCGGCAGGGCTGGGCGGTGGAGGCGGGGGAAGGACACGAGCTCCTCCCAGCGGGCCGCCCCTGCGCCTCGCGCCGCCTTCCCCCTCCTGGTCCCCGGCCGCGCCAGGTTTCGTTTCCCCGATCGGGAGAACCGGAGCGGGGAAAGCGTCGTGTCCTGTCGTCCTCTCACCTCCCCCCCCCCCTCCAACCAACCCCCTTGGGTGCGGCTTTTTATGCCCTTTTTATGCACTCTGGGTGACCGAAAGCAATGGCGGGTGGAGAGGTAGTTATGCTTTGGTCCTGCAGTTCGCTGATTTCCCCTCAAGGATTTTTCCTCCCCGCTTTCCGGTCGTCTCTGTTTCCGTGGGGGAAGAGCAGTCAGCAGGAGGACCCCCCCCCCCGCATGCGGGGCCTCACCCGTGCACAACGTGCTTCATGAGCAGCCCCCCCCCCCCGCATCCACAACTCTGCATTCAGGAGGACCTACTGCATTGGCCTCAAGTTGCACCAGGGGGTGTTTACGTTGGAAATTAAGAGACATTTCTTCTCAGAAAGTGTAGTCAGACATCAGAACAGGTTATCCAGGGAGGTGGTGGAGTCCCTGGGGGTGTTTAAGGTAAGGTTGGACATAGTGTTTAGGGAAGTGATTTAGTGGGTGACATTGGTAGTAGCTGATGATTGCAGCAGGTGATCTTGAAGGTCTTTTTCAACCTTAATGATTATGTGATTTATGCCCCTGTACATGCACAGATCTCCTGTGTGCACGCACACCTGACACATCCACAAGTGCCTCGTGTGCATATTTACCATGTGCATGGAAATCCCTGTGTGCAAGACCCCTTCATACGTGGAACCCTGCGTACACAAACTTGTAGATACGCTAGATCCCTGCATGTATGATGCCTCCTCTTCATTTACAGACCTGCTGCATGCACAGCCCTCTGCATGCAAGACCCAGGCAAGTAGGTAACCAACTTCCTGACCTGTTTACTGGAGCCCAAACGTGATTAGACATAGAGGGCTGGAAAGTTTGAAGGTGCAGAGCCCAGTAGCCGGAGTGGCGTGGGATGACCTGGGATGCTTGACAGGATGGATCTTCAAAGCATACGCTGGTCTACCAGAAAGCTTGTCAGGAGCAACCCCGGTTCAGCTGAGCAAATTCGGATTTTTTTAGAAATTTTTCAAAAATAGCAAAGCCCTTCAGAAAATGAGCTGGACAGAGAGTACTGGGGGAGGGAGCTTGTGAAGTTGGCTGCTGAGGGAGCCTGGGAATGCAAGTTTGACAAACTCTGTATACCACAGATGGGTTTAATTCTGCAGAATCAGCATTCCCTGGCAAATGTGCCTGTCGGAAGAAATTCCACCTCCCATGTTTTCAGAGTGCATTCAGAAACCTCTACTTGGAAATCAAATCCATGCCTGCAAGCTCCCACTTCCCCCATCTCTCTTAAGACTCATTTTTAATTCTCATTGCCGGTTATTCTAGCAGGAACTGACTGAGAGTGGTGCTTTTCTGTGGTCTAATACCTTCCACTGAAATAGGCAGCTGGGACTGTTTCATTCTCTGGTTTGCAACTCAAATGCCAAAAATCTGGGAAGTTTCAACTTTGTGGTAGCCTGAGTAACTGTAATTCAGCCTGTCTGTGCACCATCATTCAGATAAACTCACAAGATGTCTGTGTCACAGAGTGCCCAACAACCAAGTTCAACTTTTGTCTGTAAGAGTCAGTCTGGCTTTTTGTGGCGTACATGTGAGTATCTTCATGGCATGTCAGCTTTGGGGTGCAACATCAAAGGTTTAGTTTCTGGGTGTCAGGAAGGCATAGCATGCTTTTTTCTGCTCTCCTGTTCCTTTGGTGTCTTGTAGGCTCCCCCCATCCCAAGCAGACATGGACAAAGGCCTACAACTTTCTAGTTTTCTTCCTCCCCAAACCCCAAATCTAATATTAGCAGTTCCACTGCTTCATGGATAGGATCCTGTCTACTTCTGGGAAGGAAGAGAGAGGACCTCAGAGTGACAGGACACAACTCATCACCAGGATCTGTAGTCATCCTGGTAATACTGAAATGTCTGGGCAGGAGCAGCAATAATTACAGGATACTTACAAGTGGAGCAGGTGGGCTGAGTGCCTAGGGACCAGTTTTGCTGTGGTAGATGGCATGGGAGATGTAACCAGGGAAGGAAGCCCTTTCAAAAGCTCACTGGTCTAAGCTCACTGGTCTAAGCTCACGCCTCCCACCTCCTTACCAAGGCTCTACTGGGGGAGCAGTCTGCAAAACTCAACACAGCACCTGTCTGATGGCAGGCCTGTTCTAGAGCAAAATACAGCAATGAAAGATCCAGCCTTGCAGGCTTGGGGTTTGTTGGACGGCTTTGCTGAATGGCCATGTTCCAACTGTGAAAGCAAGGTAGAAAAATAATCCTTCAGAAGAAGAGGTAGGCGATAAGAAAGGCAGCAGGAATGTGACCTGTGCAAGGGAAAGGTGGGTGCAGGTAAAAAGATTTGTTCAAGGTAAAAGGAAATGGAGAGGCGGCTGGAACTGAAAACAAAGTGATGCTAGGGTAAACATTACATGGCTTGCTTGTGTGCTGGGGACAAATGGCTACTTCTAAAATAAGGAAATTAAGATAATGGCAGCTCCCTTGACGGGTCAAGAGAGCGGGTTAGCAGGGATCAGTGCAGCAATTAAAACAGGAATTACTAGGTCTGCAAGGCTTCACTGCTGAACTGACGTTTCGGGAGTTTGAGTTTGAAATGTGGGCCTGCTAAAAGCTTGCTAAGCATCTGTAGAGGCAAGTGGCATGCAGAGAGCTTCCTTCACCACCAATTTTCTGTTTCAGGGCTTGTGGGGAACTACCTGAACCTGGCCAGGGCTATGCACAAGAGGCTCTGTGAGGCACCTACACCCCAATGGAGTTTGCAAATGAGGTGTTTCCCCTGCTTAGTGGAGCAGAAGGGGCTTCACAGAGCAAATCTGCTAAAGCCACTTTGCATAGATTCCACAGGAAGGGCACAACCTCCTTTCTTTTCACTAGTTACATCATTCTCTGCAGGTTAGGAGAAGAGCTCAGACTTCTGGGCTGCCAGAGAGGATAGGGGCTGCTCTGTGGAAGAGTCCCGTCCCACCTGCCAAAGGTGTTAGATGTTGATATTGATTTAGTAGAGCAGAGGGCCAGGAGGACACAATTTGTTCTTTAGCCTGGCATTTAAGTCCCTTGCCTGGGAGAGCAGGAGACCAGGATCTTCATCCCTGGTGCAAGGTGTGTTTCCCCCAGATAGACAAATCTCTTTGCCCGGAGCAGTCTGCTGCAAGGTAGCATGGCATAAAACCTCCCTCTGCTCTAGCTGCTGCCACAGCAAATGGTGCTGGAGCCGTGACACACCATCCCTGGAGCTTCCAAACCACACCATCCAGCTCCACCTGATTGGGTTGATTTCATATCCCAGCCCCATCATCCCACCCCTGGATGTTTCTCCTCCTGAAACCCCTGTTGGCTGCTCCAGAACAGAGCTGCCCAGCAGAACTTCAGACACATTCATCCAAGGGAGCTCCAGACACAAGATTTTTTGCTTGTTTCTTTCTTTGTTTGTTTTGCATTGGAGTTTCTTTGGGTCTCCTTGCTCACTGTCCTCTGTCACCTTGACACATCAACATCTTTGTTGTCCTTGTCACCATGCCACTTTTTTCTGCAGCCCGTGGGGGACCTGAGACACCTGTCAGCTGCTGAGGTTCCTGAAAAAGTGTGTGTGTAATCAGGTGGATCTTCGGGCTGCAGTATCTGCTAGAATAGGACCTTCATCTGCTCACTCCAAGCACAACCTGCAGTCACAGTCAGGCTGTCAGTTTTATGAACTTTCATTTCTGGTTGATATCAAGATTTCGTATTTTTCCTTCTTTCCCAGAACTCTTAAGGTGAAGGTGGTCCCCTGGCTGCTGCATGCTGAATCGGTATCCGAGAAATCACTCTTACTAATTTGGGTCTGCATGACTCACCCCTTGTCTTGCTTATTTATTTAAGGCTTTTGACAGGAAAAGAACTGCGAAGCTTAACGCAGGGGTCAGGACTCAGGCAAAAAGTTAAGCTCTGGGTGCTGCTGTGATTTCTCCACTTTGCTGGGAGTCTGCTGGAGGATACGTCCCTGTCTGGTGTGACCAGGCTGCCTCCAGAGAAAAGTTGCTCGAGAATTATGCCCTCCAGCATTATAAACTGACTCCCCTGCCCAAGCCTGAGCCTTTTGTCCTTCCCTGGACTATGTAGTAGGGGTGCATTTCTCCAGCCGTGTCCTGAACAGACCTTGTACCTTTACCATCAGTATTTTAACTCCTCATCTCCTAGATGGCCACTTGACTTGAGTTGTGGCCTTGTCTCCAGTCCTATCTGCTATCAGGCCCTTGGACCTGTGTAGTAGGTATACCCATCTTCAGTCCTATCTTCATCCCCTGGGTGAAATTTGGATCCATGCTGTGTAGCCTTCTTTCCATTCCTGGCTTCTTTTGAACCATCAGTGAGGTTCTGCAGCCCCCTGCAATGGTTCCTGTGCAGGGGGGGCCTCTTCTCTCCAAGCCAAGACCTAAAAGCCTGGTTGTTTGGGGGAGGGAAGAGGCATTCCAGACCCTTCCCATCCCATCCACCAAAAATGTGCCTCTTTAAACAAGCAATCTGGCAGGCTCCAGGGAGGCCACATAGACCACACTGAATCTGTAAACAAGGTGCTGGACTAGTGGACTTTTGCAGTAGAAATCCTAAATTTGGCACAAATGAAATACAAATGGATATGATGTGTCCGTGTGTGTAAGCACCTAGAAGAAATGGCAGTGCAAGGGTTAAGCGGAAAGGCGTGTGTTTTCTGCTCTAAGCATTCAGTATCTGATTTCATTCACATGAAGAGGACCAAGGAACTGACCTTACATAAAAGAATGGAGAACAGGGTGTGAGCCATAAAACATCCAGATAAAGAAAGCAAATGAACTGGGAAATTCACGATTTTTTGCCTAGAAGAGGCAAAATAAAAGGGAAAGTGAGCCAAAACAGCATCCTCCCCTCTAAAGGCCAACAAAGGCAAATCCAAA